ATAACTAATTTATAATTCAATTTTATTTATAATAAAGTTACAAAATAGTGGAGAGATTCTGTAATGCAAGTAGGCTTCCCTGTGATAAATATTTGGCTATGGTATAGAGTTCACCAGCGTAAGGAAAGCGAGTCACAACATCATGTTTGAATAGTAATTCAGTGCTCTAATAAATCTGGAAGCCCTGGTCCTGACTTCTGAAGAAACTGTAGATACTTGCAAATAAGAACCACTTTAGCTGTAATTTGCGTAGGTAAATCAGTACAACTGTGATCTTTGAGAGTGACGAATTGCACTGGAGGTTTCATTTTGTACTCTCTCTTAAATTTTCAGCTATCTGGGGGAGGAAAATCAGAAAGTGTAAAACTGTAAGAAAGCACAGGATGTTGGTAGATTACAGCAGTAATGTTGATACCAACCTTCCCCTGAGAACCTGGTTTGATTGCAAACAAGATTCTTCCCAATCCACATATAAAAATGTGTTTATCTCTTACAAACAAAATGTAATGGTTTCAAATGATGGTTGACAGCTTCAGTGAAAAGCGAGTTATCGTAACTAAACCTGGACGTATAGGAGTGACTCAAGAGTTAAAAGAACAGCAGCACTGCTGAATCCATTTAACTGGCAAAGTGGTTTTAATTGGGTTGGTTGCTAGGGAATGGCTCCAGCACCATGTCTTTCAATGAATTGAAACATTGGACAAATAGCATGCCCAGGTCTGCTTAAATAATACACCTGGTGTTGGCTCCTGCCGCATTTAGAGCAGGTGTGCATTGCTTCTTGCTAACTAGCTTTCCCTTATTGTGCGGTTCCACTGTGTGGCTTGTGTGCTGTTACCCCGTTCTGTGGTGGCTGCTGGGCAAGTTGAACTTGCCATACCAATTCTGTATTTAGTGTTTTGTAGTATGTTATTTAAAAAAAAACAGTTGCTGTACACATAACTAGAAACAGCTTTGTAGCAGTAGGCTCGAAGCAGGATTAACTTACATTTCGTACAAGAATTAATATGTTACATGTTTGCACCTTTTCTGTTACAGAGAGAGTCGTATATTACTCTTGATTATGTTGGAATAACTTAATTGTTTGACTTCAGTGAAGTTGCACTGGGTTTAGACATGGCACAGTTATGCTAGCACTTGCATTAGCAATGTTGGGAGCACCAGTGTGTGCACGCCACTGTCAGTTACTAGTTTTGCACACAGTGCCTGTTACATCGTTGCCAAGCAATACTAATCAATAGCATGTTAAAAATACTATCTGGGGGTAGAACTGACACCGGTCATCCCTGTCCGTCCTGCCTGTGCTGCGGTAGAAATGACATGAATTACAGAGGGCAGTATTAAAAAGCAGTTTTTCCTTGGTGTAAATGCTGCTTGGGAACAGAACTTGGCTTCATTCTTTTATAAATAGAATAAATGTACTGAAGTCTGGCTTTATCTCTTCAACATTTATAATGTGACTTAGTGTAATGTTCTGTGTTGCCACACAGGAGAATTAAGTTTGGCTCTATTCTCATTCCCTATACTAGCAGGAGTTCAGAAAAAAAAAAAAGAGGCAGCTGTATCTAATTCAGGCTATGAGGGGAGATAGGGATTTGTTAAACTCGACCGTAAACCATAGAAAATAAGAGGACCAGACTTTCTGTAAAGCAGCCTGCTAGGAGGTTTCATAGGCTTAATAAAGCTCAGCTAGATGCCCCAGCTGAAGAACATTTCATAAATTTCTGATAACACTTTCCTAAACATAAAACAGGAGTGACCAGACTTGTCAAGTTCGTGTAATCTGGGAGAAGATAAGAGGCATACCTAATTCTCGTGAGAGCCACTACAGATTAAGCGTCTTTAATATTTGAGGATGGCCTGCAGAGGCACATAAAGCAGTGGACCATCTGTACCACTCAGATCAAAATGCATCGTTGGAGAGGGTGCTATATTAAAAGTGAAGGCAGATTGGGGCACTGCTGTGGAACTCTGCTGGCTTTATCTATGAGTTGCAGATTAAACTTGTTGACAGAAATGCGGAAAGAACTGTTAATAGAGACTGTATGTCATATTGCTTCCCTGAAATTCACCAAAGACTAGGGGTTAAAAAAAAAAATCAATCTATATTTGACCACTGGCAATCCATGCGAGAGACTCTTCTGTTGCCATTCTGAGAACTATTTAAAGCTGGCTTTTAGATTTTACTGCATATATGCAGTTAGTTGTGGCATGTCTGTCTTTTATGAATACATACTTCAAGAAATAGGTTATTTTCTAAAATTGCTTTAATTTTCTTACCTAGTTATTGGTATGAGTTTTGCACGTAATTACATACTTTGAGTTGGTTCCCAGCGGTACTTACCCTGATAATAATAGGAACAGAACATACCAAAATAATTGAAAAATCTTCATCAAGGAAGGGGGTGAGAAAGAGACAACAGGTTTGGTAGAAAATGCCTGTTGTACTTGACATGAAACCCTCTCTTCCACCTGCAGTATCCTCTGAGATAACTAATTCTTTTAACCGTAAATATGCAAGTGTGGGTAAAGTAGCTGTGGAATAGCAGTTTATGTATATCCCCAAATGTGTATTTTGTAGATAGATAAGCAGCTCTCTGAGCTGGGAACAACTTCTATTTTTAGATACAGTGAAGTGAGTGAGGGGCAATAGACTGTGAGGAAAAGACAGGCTGAGGGGAGAGAGGCAATGAGGTCAGGAGGTTACTTCCGTGCATTTGTTTAGAAAAAGCAAGATAAATGAAAGGAAGACTGTTATATGCACAACACTCTACAGTGAATGTAGTTGTGAGCAGATGTTACAAGAATAGACAGCCTTCTAAATGCTGCGAGAAAACTCAGTAAATGCTATTATTCCAAGAAGCTATTGGCTAGTATAGAGCAGAAAAAAACCCCACATTAACTTTTAGACCTTCAGAAAAATGTTTGTGTGTAATGAAAACATCTGTGTTGTCAGTTTATTTTTCTTTAAACAGAGGTACATATGGAGTCATTTCTGAAGAGCAGAAGCCATTTCTCTACTCCCTCCCCCAAAAAGCTGGTGTCCAGGAATATGTGCCTGCTAAACTAACTGCTATTTTTCCCTCCCCTTTTGAAACAGATCCAGGTTTGCCTCTCGAGCTGCTTTTGACTACTCTGGACAGTAGCAACACATTGAATCTGACATGCTTCTTCCCGGTTGTACTGCTGCAGATGAAATTCGGTGTACAAGGAATGAAATTTGATAGGATTTGTCGGTGTTCCTTCTGCTGTAGCCTGGCAAATCTCTGAGCAGCAGCAGAGGTACTAAAGCTGTATCTGTAAACTTAGGAAGATGGACTTTTCTCTTTCCC